TGAGTTTTTAAATGTGTTCCCTGAGTTCTTGAATATGTGACTGACGTTTATAGGTAGCATGCTGAATTCAAGCCTTGTGCCTTCTGTGTTTGTGACACTCAACATCATGTGTTGCCAATGTTTGGATTCCTTTAAATTTGGAGTACTGTCTTGCTTTCATTGTAGGGATCTCTGCTCAAGTGTCTGTGCATTGCAGTGCATCCTTTCCCTCTCCAGCAAGTGGTGGTTGCAAGAAATGGGTAGGTGGTAATGGATAGTGCCTGGGCCTGCTCTGCCTCTGCTCATTTTACACGCAGTTGTGATGTGTTTTTGTCCTATGTGTGTGCAGAGAAACCTCTGCTCAGAGGAGCAAGAAGTGATCTAGTGAATTGCCTCTTTTCTGTAATTACTCTTAATGTTGTCTAACTTCTGAGAACTCTGGAAACTGTTCAATTTAGCCACCAAGTGGTGTTTTGCAGACAGCCTAGGAAGAAGTCTTGAGCCTGCTCTAGAATTCAGGCAATGGATGTCCTTTCAGTCATGATGACAAGGGTGATGTTGACAGTGTGACTGTCAACTTTGTTTGCTAATTGTCTGTAGAAGTGATCCTCCCCAGTCCCAGCGAGGTGGTTGTATATTTGGGGTTGAAGTAAAATACTAAGGTGGGTTTTTATTCTGGACAAGAAGTAAGGTGATGTGATAGAATGACTGTGGACACCTATTTTGTCCTAATTTCCAACTTGGAAAGCAGCCAAAAGCCATCATCAAATATAATTTTGTTCTTTTGCCTGAACAAACTTTACCTGTCTCTCATGGGTTATGTTACTTTATCACCTTTTCTGACCAGTATTGCTTTTGCTTCTATGGTTTTTCCTTTAAAAAAAAAAAAATAAAGAAAAATCCAAACTTAGTAGTTTGGTAGTAGGCTGCATTTATATGTTCTGCCATATGGTAAGCTGTTGATTTTCCCAAACTCCTGAGTTTTCTTGTGGCCTATTGTCATGACTAAATCTTAGTGATTCTTAGCATAGCATTAAATGCCTGTTTGATGACATCATAACATGTTCTTAGAATTCTGACTTATCAGTATCTTGTACTGCATTAACTGCATCTTTTTTCATTGTTTTCATCAGGCTGGCAGACAGGTCAGTCTTTCAGTAGTGGATTGTTGTTGCCATAAATTAACCATGCACTTATAGCTAAGAAGATGTTAGAGAAGCTTGCTGTTAATTTTTATTATAGAAGGCTAAAACTATCAAATGTCACTTAAAATTGTTGTAAAAAATTATTAGTTAGCCAAAACCTGAAGTTTTGAACATGTACTGTTGACATAACTATTGTGGAGAAGTTAGTTTGATGTCTCTCACTTTCCATGCATTCTTCTTGATTATATGTTGCTCAAGCAGTGAACTACTTCCAGGCACAGTGAAAAGAAATTCCAACTTCTGTGCTGCCTGAAACAGCAGAGTTAAAACTCAGTATTCTTTGAGCAGAGTAACTTTTTTCCTCCATTAGAATGCATTGCTGGTGGAACTTTATGGCTTTGGCTGAAGTCTTAGTATTTCCTAGCCCTTTGGAGAAAGAATTGTGATCAGTCTTTCTAAAGACAAGATTACAAAAGCAAGTTTAAATTCCATAGTGAGACACATTATGTTAAAGTGGACTTGGGATTTTTACATGAACTTTTTGGTGTCACACTCACAAAAAAAAGCATCTGTGTTTCATTGATCTCCTTTGCATTCTTCCCCTAGCAGGCTGTTTTGAAACAGGCCCTTATTTCTAAATAAAAGTGCAGAAGTCAGTGGCCAACTAATCAGAACATAACTGCCTTCATTTGATGATGAGCAGATACATCATTTCTCTGAAGAGCCATTTCCCTTTTCTTTATTAAATATCTAAGGACAATTAGATTTCTCTGTGATGTGCTCAGAGAAGGCTTCTGGAGCACTATTACAGACTTGACTAGCATGGAGCAAGACCCTTCTGCAGCACAAAAATACACTGCTTCCAGTTTTGCTGTGCTTGTGAAGGCAAGTCATGGCTATGGTAAGTAAATTAGTGGGCAAAATGGAATATTTCTGCAGGACCACAGATGTTGGCATGGATTGTTTTAAAATAATTGACTATTGATGTTTAGAACTGTGTTTATATCTGCTCTATTTACTGGGTAGCTCGGACACCTTTCCTATGTGGAAATTACTAATTAGTTATGTTTCTCACTGCTGAAATTTTTACCTTTATTTTTTCTCTGTAAGCAGCTGCAGGTTGCAATGAGTTGTAGTTCTCCACAAGAAAGGCTGGTTACCAGTCAGTCATTTACAAACTGCTTCACTTGTGAGTGTAACTGATAGAAAGTTGGCCTTTTAGCTGATCATTTGTAGGAGAGGAATATCCTGAAGGTGAGGGTCTCACCAACATTTGTCATGTATTTTTTTTTTACTTCTAGGAAGTAATTGATAAAGTTTTAAGTGTTATCATATAGCATAAGGGACATGCTTGTGTCCTTTGGTTTCCCCATAAGTCTCATTTCATACACCTTTAGGAACAGCTTAGTAAATGAGAGATGAGCATTTTGGTTCTAACCTGCACATTGTGACATAAATTAATCTGGTCTCTGTAAAAAGGAGAATTAGACCTAAAAAATTCTTGAGCTGCTAGTATGTAAACAAAGTTGCATGGAATGGTATGTTTTCATGTGTCAGGTACTAAAGCCTTTTAAACTTACCAATTTAACTGCCTGTAAATTTTGTATCCTTTTTAAAGGAAGAGTTGTGTTAAAAAGATTGATTTTGATTGAGGATCAGTGAATGTTTAAAAATAGGACTCAATTTTTTCTTATTTCTAAGATATGGACCTAAAGCTTTTAGTAAATGTATCTGCATCTGTGTGCTTTTGTTTGTTTTTGTCCTAATGTAGTGTAGATGCTAGACCTGTCCCCTTTTCAGGAGGAAGCTAGGCTTTGGGGAATGAGTAGGAAAGTAAAATCTATTGAAAGGAGTTAAAATTATAAACATGTCTGCTTCAGAGTGTGTTACTCTTTCATAAGTTCCCAATAATACTTGAACTTAAATAATTGAGTTGCATTTTACTGAAAAGACAAAACTCTTAAATCTTCCAATCTATTGCATAAAAATACTTGACATGGTTGATTTTATTTTAGCTGATTAATCTGATTGTTCCCTCTGTTTTGTTAGCCAAGGGGATGGTCCTTCAAGTATATGTGTGTGCCATTGACATGCTGAACATCAAATACAAAGAAATTTTCCAGACTGAGGTCTAAGAGAACAAAGGAAGTTTTCTGTTAAAGGTTTTAGTGTAGTCCATCAGTATTTTCTCTTGCAGCTCTGAGGAGCTCTCAGCCATCTTTTGCACAAAAGCACTGTATCTAATTCTTTTCCTTTGAAAGAAGGCCTCAGTTTCTTGAAGGTTGTTACATTCCTGTGTAAGACGTGAAACTTTTTCTGATGAAGGACCATCTCTAGATGAGCAGAAGATTGTGTCAGCAAAAGCAATGTGGTTTGTCTTCTCAGCACACTGGGACAGTGCCTGACAGACTGTAAACCATACTGGACTGCAGAGGTAATTAAAAACCTGGAATTGTTCTTGGAAAGAAATGAAATTTAGTACAATTTGGTGAGTGATGGAAATGTTACTCATATGACTTTGAGTGATGGTTTCAACCTTTAGTGGGTTGCTGCAATATTGCTAATGAAGTTCCTCTTTAAAACACTTCTTATATTTGCTGTACATGTGAACTGGCCACTTCAAGTTTCTCTGGGACCATCAAAACCCCATGACATGTTAGTCAGATGATGAGTTTTAAAAAATGATGCTACACAAAGCTTTGAAAGCCTAAATTTTATACAATCTAAAATGTTAGACTGCTTTATTTTTTTGTCTCAGAAGGACTTGGAGAGCTAGTGTGTATCAAGTGAAACAGAAGCTAGGGAATGGTAGCCATGATATTCCTGACTACTGTCAGATTTTACAAGAAAAAGCAGGAGTATGAGGGTAAGTGAAGACTTCTCACTCATGCTTTGGCAGAAATCAGTTACATGAATTTTTCGTATAAAAGACCCAAATGAAGTTTATAGTGAAGCTATGTTTGAGCCCTGAATTTGGATTTTAGCTTGTCAGGGAGCATTACAGCAGGCTGACTCACCTCCTACATGTGTCATTGACTGAGTTGGTTTAATTTGTTCTACAGATATTAGAATGGTATTAGCTTTGAAGCAGGAAAGAGACTGGGTATATGGAATGCTATAAAACTAGCTAGAAAACCACATATACAATTTCAGACCCAATTATGTCAGACTTCTTTTTATATGTAGAGTAATATGGAGATTACTTCCTGTATTCTGGAAGTTCCTGTTTCTTTCTCTTTTCATGAAGAGAAGAAATTGTTGAAAACAAATGATACATACAGCAGTGTTTCTGTAAGGCTTGCAGTTATTTTTACTTTGTCATATGGTAAGAAAAATAGTTGAGACAGTGTTTCAAGATATCTATAATCTTTTAAGTAATCAAGAGAGCAAGATATAATTCTTTGATACAAATGTTCCTTGGGGAAATGCAGGAAAAAGTTAGTAAGCAAATTCAACGACTACAGTGAAATACCTTTTTAGAAGAAATCTAAATAGATTTTTTTAAGAAAAACAGATTTTGTCTGGCAAATGTAAATACACAGACTGCTAACATAATTAGGCCTTCTGTACGATGACCTGAGTATTCCCAGGAAAAGAGGTTTATACATTTGTATTTAGTGTGGAATGTTGCAGTCTACCTGTAGCTGGCCTTACTTAAAATATTTTATATGCAGCCTCATTGCAGTATTCCTTTGAGTAATTTGGAAAACTAAACACAGTATTGTAGTTCTCTTGGAAATAAAGCCTTGTAATCATCAGCTAATGAAAGATACTAGACATAAAGTAGATATACTGAATTTTATATATTTCAGTTGGAATATATATATATATATATGTATGTATATATATGTATATGCTACATATCATGCATCTGTGTTTACTATCAATATAAACATTTATTGTCTTTGCAATAGCTCAGAGGATGTAGCAGACAGATCTGTGTCTTGCCTGACTGGCTCATCAGGTGGCTGAGAATTGCTGGTAGTTCAGTTTTCTTAATGAAAGAGTACAAAGTCTTTGATAATTAAGTTTTGTGCCCCCTCATCTTTTTAAAGATCAATATGTTCAAACTCAAAACTCACACATTTCTTTAGGAGGTATTTGCATAATCTCAGGCAGGCAGATGCCAATGAATGGTTCCTGTGCTCTGGGTTCATTGGCAAGCTGGGAGTGGTTAATGGGACTGGGAGCCTGAATGAGTGTGCCTGCTTTGGAGCTGGGAGATGCCTGCTCAGTTCCATGTGTCCTGTGCAGGGTAAGGAAGATGTGCCTCTGCCTGTTTATCTCCAGACCTAGCCATCTTCAGTGGAAGGGGCTGGTGTCCCAGGAGTGAGCTAGAAGTGGGATTTGTGTTCAAAATCTTGGATAAATTGGCAGGTTCTTTATTGATCCCCCTCCAGAGAAAAAGCACATTTTAAAAATCGATTAAGTCTATTTTTGATCACACATCAATAATAATTTGAAATAGCTTGAGCATCCTCATGGTGCTCTTGATGGTTTGGCATTGCAGTCAATGTAGGTTACCTTTTGTACTCTTTAAAGGTAACTTGGATTTCAACATCCAAAAAATGTTGAGAATAACAAGGAAACCAGTTCTTTTTGTAGAGTTGAAAAACTGGCTGAGCTGGGTTGAGCAAAGAGTTCTGTTCACTGGGGACTTCCAGCCTGGGCTGGTTAGCTGTGTGGATTTGGAGAGCTCTCCTAGGTCTGGGAAGTGCTGGGACTCAGGATCAGTCTGGGCTCACGCTCTGTGTGTGCTGCTTGGCCGGGAAGCTCTGGGCTGGAGCAGCTTTGAGAGCAGGAGGGCTCCAGCAGTGAGGGGGCAGCAGCAGAGATGAAAGGGTGGGGGCAAAAGTCCTGTCTCATGTGTAGCTGGATTTACCACTGTGACCCAGCTAAGATCATAGGAGAGGTGCTGTGGTGTGTCTGGCTGCCCTTGTTACTGCTACAAACAGCCCACCACAATTTCTTTTCCATAGCAGTGAAGAGTAGCAAAGGGAAGGATACTTTGTAACTGGAGTGCAGAGCATCCTTCTTGTAGGCAGATTCTGCTTCAGGCCTGCAGATGTACCTGTTAAAATAACAACCAGGTTTTTAAAGAAATACTTATTTAAGAAAGTCTTGAGGACACTGTCCAAAAAACCCAAAGATTAAAGGTTTAATGAGACTTGTTCTCTTGAGTCTTTCCAGAATATTGTGTTAAAGCAAAGTCACATCCCTAAAGAAGGGAGGTTAAACCAAATGCTCACACAGATTTTCCTGTGTTTGCTGGAGCTGGTGATGCTCAGTGAAACTATCTGCTGTCATTAACAGTAAATGTATTCTTAGTGCTGTCACTGTGGTTTGTAACTGGAGGAGCCCCAGTTTCTCTGTCAGGGCTAGAATGAAACCTTTGTTCTGTTAGAGGAGAGGTGCAGATCTCCTGAGAGTCAGTAGGAATCACTTGTGTGCTGTGTGTACACAATGATGTGTGACAGATCCCTTATTGCAGGGGTTGTCAGCAGAAAGGTGGGAGGCAACAGTGGTGGTTTAGTGATAGCCAAGTACAGCTGTGCTGTTGGTTGGAATGGTGTACATGGGATTGGAAAGTGGTGACATAGCAGGGATTTTCAGTCTGTTAAGAGGAGGCTAAAGAGTTGAAAAGGCAGGTATACTCAGTGTGTCCATAGGGATTCTGGCGCATTGCTCTTTACAGGAGGAAAAAATAATTAAACCAAACTATAGATTTGCAGTTTAAATTTGGTTAATTAATTAATTAATTAGACCTTTGCTTGTTAATATTGCTATTCCATATTTTCCACATCACTAGAATCAGCTCAACAAATGTAATTGCTATTTCTATGCTTTCCTGAAGAGAATCAATGTTACTAATAACTACCATCAAAATAATTTACTTTGTTGCCAGTGATTTTCTATTACAGTTTAGACTGAGTTCTATAAGCGTGTTAGTATTTAAAGGGAACCAAAAGAAAAGACATACTTAAAAGAAACAATCAAAACCAAACCCCTAAAATTACTAATGACAATATATACTCACTTTCAAAAGTTCTGGTATTTTATAATTGACTTTCTGGACATTGTAATTCCAAGTCAGAGTATTTTACTTTCACTTCTCATCAAAATATAAATTTTCAGCAACTTCTCAGATTAGAGTAAAATCACAAAGAGGAAAGAAACGCTAAAAACTGCATATGACTTATTTGACAATTAGTGTTCTGATGCATATGGAGTTCTGCAGTCAGTTTACTAGAGCCATAGATATAAAAATATGTAGAATCTTCTTTATTAATGAAGTATGCATTTATTCAGATCAGGTGTTTTGGGATACAGCCCAAGGTTTTCTCAATTTCAAATTTCAGTGACCTGTTTTCTAGAAGGTTTTAAATCACTTTTCATAGATTAACTCTGAAATCTGCCACTGTTATACATTTTGAAATTAAGATAGGTGAAATGATGAAATATGAAAAATCCTGTTACTGTATCCTGTTTAGGGAAATGGATGATGATAACATAGCTAAATACCTCTATGTCATGGTTCAGGAGTCTTCACTGATGCTGACAAGCTAAGAGAGCTGGCTTTACATATTTAGGAAACCTGGAAAAGCCTGGCAAAAAGGATGTAGGTGTGACTACTTAGCTGTTAGATCAGAATTGTGTTTTCTTAATTTTGGTTGGCCCTAGGTGACTGCCATAACCTTTTTCCCCCAAACAAATTCTTCATATGTTTTTGATGCAAATTTGGCTGTGGGCCTTTTGATGTTCAAACACTTGCTTTTGGCAGTTGTGCACTTTGCCTGTTCTGTGTGTCAATGTTTTCAGATAGCTGGCTAGAAATAGTTTTGGGGTACTAATTTTCTGATACATTCTAATACACCTCTGAGCTGCCCTGAGAAACAATATTGTTAGGCACATTGACTGACTTAACTGCTGTCTTGCATGGTTTTCTTGACCATACTTTTTGATATTCTTCACATAATTGTCGTCTTCACACTTTTGAGTTATTTTTTTTTAATGCCCAGTGGAATGTTAGTGAATGAATGTTAGCAAGATTCTTGATTTCTGTTGCTACACCACCCCCCTTCAGCTCTCTTACTGTACAGTGTAAGCCTCGTCATTTGTAAGCCAGATTGACCTTGAATTTTGTTCTATGCCTTAAGTCTTCCCAGTTATTTAACTTTGTGTAAAGATAAACGCTGAATGTATGTTTTTTCTTCCTGTTTACACCACATAGGATATTACTCAAAATCATTGCTTTTCTAATCCTTATACCTAAGATTCTTAGAGTGGGTGACTCCTAAAGCCTGCTGCGTATGGCAGTAATTTTTACTGTATTAAGATTGGCCCTGTTTCTGCCAGCATTTATTTTTGGAATAGTTGCATTACTTGTGATATTTTAAGCAGTTTAAAGCCTTTGAGAAAATAATCAGTCTTAAGTGAGACGTATGAGTTACCTTCATTATAATGTGATTTTATTCAAAGTGAAACAGCAGTAATTTATCCTTTCATAGCAATAGTGAATAAAGGATATAGACTACGTGAAATATTAATACACGTATTAAATTTAGAATTTTGAAACCTCTAGTAATTTTCATTCTTTTATAAAGGATGGTGTCAAATGCTAGTGTTGGAAGCATTTTTTTTCCAAAATTATATTTAAAATATATGTGTTGAGATTTTTGTATTTTGGGTTGTTGTGAGTTTTTTTTCTTTTTCCTTTTTTCTTCTTTTTATATATCTGACTTTTGCTGTCCAACAGTGACAAGAACCTTTCTGATGCTTATGTTGGTATCTTAATATTCCCACCTGTGGTTTGCATCCTTGCTTCTGAAGACTTCTAGTAAAATTTAATAATATTTTCAGAATGAATGCTAAGCATATGGAAATTGGAAACTTCTAGTCTTCTGGGAGAGCTCTTAGGTGTTTGTTTGTTTTGTTGTGTTGGTGTTGGAGAATAAGTGGGAAGGTTGAGTACCACTTGTTTGGGTTTGGCCTGTGTTGTGTGTCTTCTTTTTGCTATGAAGTGAAAATAAAATACTGCTGGATTTGATTGACAAGAAAGTTCTTTGTAGCATTGTATCCAAATAAAAGCTCCTGTTTCAGCCATCAGTCAGTCTTTATATTGTGCTTCAGATAAATGTGCTGTAGGATGAGATGGAGTTTTTTATTTCAGTTGAAACTTTGCTTTAATTAGATTCTGTTGGAGGATCTTGGGAAGGGATTTTTTTCCCCCTGTATCTCAGTGTCTTTAGTATCTTAGTAATTATTTATAGGCTGTACTGCAGAATTGCTTGTGGCATTGAGTAATTCAGTGTTTTGAGGAAATCAGCAAAGTTCAAAATAAATAGTTACCAGCAGCACTACTTCAGAAGTTCCTCTTCAGCCTTGGTTTTGTGAAGATTTAACATTTGCTAGGCAGCTACCTCTTCCTCTGGTGCATCTGGATTTCCTCTGAGTTGGGCTGGGGAAGGATTAAACTCTGAATTACTGTATATCAAAGCCTATATATTTTCAGATGCTGAAGGGAAGCTCTAGTGAGGGGTCTACTGGAAGATGCCCCCAACAGCTGCCCTTCTTTCCATAGCCCTGGTCAAGAACTAGCAGCAAATAATGATCAGCACCAGTTAACCTTTGCTTTCCTGAGCCCACTCCTTCCCTTACTCTAACAGCACCTCTTGCTTTTTCCCCAAAACCCTGGGGTCTGTCCAGGCACTGGCAGTGGGACTGGGGATCAAGGACGCTTGGTGTAGGAGTGACCTGAAGAGAAAGTGGGGAAAGAAAAGAGTGTGATGCCTTACTGTGAGACTTTCAGCTGTTGTCGACTCATGGGCATAGCTTCTTTGTGACTGTTTTCTGTACACTGACAGTGCTGGAGGATGCTTTGTGTTGACATTAAGAAATGTGGTGCCCCTACTCTTCTGTGCTGCACTATAGGGATTAGTGAAGGTGAGCAGTGGGTGGTCTGGGGGGGTTACGCTGGTATTCTGCTTCAGTGTCTATCAATAAAGTAGTTGATCGTTTCTATATCTATATTTCTACAGTTTCTGTGCCATTATTTTAGTTTATCAAGATGTTTTAAAATAAGCTTTTATTTCTATTTATTTTTATAATGGGAAGTCGGAGCTGATCCTGGATCCTGTGGTATTTCTGTACTGCAGAGATGAGCTCTGTGAGTATACATCAGGAGTTTCTCGGGGTTTGTCTTTGTGGATTAGCAACATACTTGCATGTTACTTCTATAATACTGTATTGCTGGTGATGCTTGTGTTACTTCTGACAGCCTTGGGGTCCTGGAGAAATAAATAATTTCAGTGTTGCTTTGTGCATACTATATATTTTTTTCCTTTGTTCCATGCAGCAGGTTTGCTGGAAAAAAGGAGTTTAAAAAGGACAACTTTTGCATCTTCTTCTTTTTGTCAATACAGGTGGCGACAGATAAGGTTGCAGGCAAGCTGAGCTCCACTCTCTCATGGGTGAAGAACACGGTATCGCACACCGTCAGTCAAATGGCCAGCCAGGTGGCGAGTCCATCTGCCTCCCTGCACACCACATCCCCCTCCACCACTCTGTCCACACCCGCCCTGTCACCATCCTCACCAACACAGCTGAGCCCAGACGACTTGGAATTACTTGCTAAACTTGAGGAACAGAACAGGTGAATAGAAAACTTTGCTCTTTAAAGTACGGTAATGAGACTAAAATTGGTTTATTGCAGTTGTATCATAGAGGCTGTTAAAAGGGAATTAGTTAAAACTTCATGGCACAACACTTCAATTTGAAAGCCCAGAGGTTTAAGAATTTGTATTTTTTGTGCTGTATTTTTACAAGTTATGTTTTTGTGGAACTCTAAAAGGTGATTTTCTCTTACAGTTTTACAGGAGTGTTTATAGCTGCCTCTAATAGTAAGAAATTACACTGTGATTTTTAGTATGCAATTTAAAGTAGAGCATCTCAGGAATTAGACTTGTGTATAACTTTCTTACCTTCTAACTATAATTTCTATGAATTTCTTGAAATCTTAAATATTTCTCAGTTTTTATTCCACTTTTATCCAGTTCTTGTTTCAGCTAATAGTCTGCTATGTACAGAGACAGAACCCTGTTCAGCCACCTTCTTACTGTTCCACTAGTGGTGCTGCATGCACAATATCTTAAATTAATTAAAAGTACATTCCTAATCAGATATTTTCTGTTCATCTTGCCTTTTTATGTTTAGTAAATAACAGTTTTCATGATAAACTTTCCATGGGTGCCTATTTATCTGCCCCATGTACAATTCAAGATGCAAGTTTCAGGTGGTTCGGTTGCTCTTGATGTGCACAGTGATGCAAATTCACAATATCACTAAGAAATTAAATTGGACTGTATAATTTCCTAATGCTGAATTTCTAGAAGCCATACTCATTTTTGCACTTTTGAGGTAGGACTCCAAAGTCATCTGTCCTTTTGCAAAATCTGGTTGTATTTGAAAAGTATGTTTCAGTAGTTTTTGAGAGGTTGGCTGCAAACAACTTGAGCTCCAAATAGATTTTCAGACTTGGCAGGTAGCTGCAGGGCTTTGTTACCTACAGGAGATGGCTGTCCCTGAGCTGTAGTGAAGTGCAAGGTTTGATAATTTAGCTCAAACTAGCTTCTGTTCCATCTTCTGTGAGTGTGCTGGCCTTTGCACTGAGGCAGTTGAGGTACTCTATCTTTGATTGGGTTGGGTGGGTTTTTTGTGTGGTTTTTGTTGGCTTTTTTGTTTGTTTTGTTTTGTGTGGTTTTTTTGTTGAGTTTATTTTTCTTTTTTGTTTGGTGGGTTTGGGGAGAGGGGGTTGCTCTTTGGTGATTTTTTTTTTGTGGTTTTCTTTTGGCAGTAGTTTTTTGTGTGTGGTTTGGTGCCTTTTTAATAGTATTATTCTTATTCTTGGTTGGGAGGGGTTGTTTGGCTTGGGGTTTTGTTTTTGTTGGTCAGTTTATTTGTTTATTTTTTCTGCTGAGTCACTTCTGAGGGTAGTAACTTCCAGTGGAGGAAGAGAGTAACTGGAGAAGAAGCAATGCTTATGTGTCACCTGGCATGTCTTCTCTCATGTCTACATTCTGCAGCCTGATAGCAGCAGAATTTGAAGGGAATTTGATACATCTGTCCAGATTTTGACAATAGAAGGAAGCTTCTAGAACCACCTGATACGCTCTTCCTTGTCTTCAAAGATGAACTCCATGTAATTTTTGCTGTGCAAATTAAAAATTATCAAAAGAAGCGAAAAAATAGTTAAATAGCACTTTAAAGAAAGCTAATTTGCATTTAATCTGAGGCTTTCTAGTCTGTTCATGACAAAACAGCTAGCTTGTATTTGAAAAGCAAACTGTACTTTGGACTGCTTATCTGTGTTGAAATGTAATGTCTTTACATCTAGAGTCTTCTCGTTAAGGCCTGCAGTCAGACTACCTGGCTTGTTGCAAGAAGAACGTGAGCTTGGGCTTTCTGTCTCAAATCAGCTTTCTTCATTTAGTAAATAAAGTAGCCAATCTTGTCCGGTTTTATTTAATTTTAGCCAGACATGTTATTATTCTCACATTATTCTTGTGTGTGAATTCTGTTTAGAGGCTACCCTATCAAGTGTATCTTTGCTGGTGAGATACTGCCCTTTAATACTGAAATTTGATGCTTATGCTGGCTGCACTGTAGCTTCAGAACAGTTTGCATCTGCAGTTTAGCACAGTGGCACTTTGTTGACAATTGTACTCTGTTCACAGGGAACCATTCTTTCTGCTTGCTGGAAGAACTGCTGCTGTGGATGTTTGTAAAGGTTTTGGGTTTTTTGTAGGCTTTTATGTCAGAAGGAGAATATGAATTAGGTAACAGAAAAGAGAAGAACTCAAATTGTTTCAAGCTATGTCTTGTAGCATTATGTAATCTAATTATAATGAAAGTCCCCACAAAATGAAGAGGAAGCTCAGTCCAGAGTCCTGTTGTAACTGTTTGGCATTAGTAAATCATTTATAAAGTTTTAAATGAAAGAAAACAGTGGCTAAACGTCACAGCACTTGCGACTTACTGTGAAAAGAACTTCCTGTTTTCAGATCTAAGGACAATGAGTTTGGCCAGGTAAGGTCAAATTACAGAAACTTAGTATAACTTCTACAGAAACCTGTGGAAACTGGAAGTGTCTCATTAGAACCTTGTTTTTGTAATCTTAATGTTTATTCTATGTTTTTTTCTCTGTGATTACTTTGAATTTTTGCATTCCATTAATAAATGGAAAATTATTTGGATTTTTTGTTTTTAAAAATAAAATCCCAAATTAAAATTTGTCTTGAAAAGGCTTTCTTTCTTTTTTTTTTTTTCCCTGAGTATTTTCTTTTCCAAACAAAATACTCCTGCAGGATCTGTACTATTTGTCTCCAGGAGTTAAATTACTTTTTCCCTTACTTTCATAAACATCAGTAGGTGAAAGCTGGGAACAGGGGAAACTAGTATAAATATCTTTATTATAGCTTAAAAATTGTAGGTATGCTGAGATTTCCATACCACCTCAGATATAATATACCTTGGGTTATATTTTGTTTATTATCTAAAACATAACCTGATCTTGCTGAAATGCTGTGGTATTAACTTTCATACTAATTTTTGAGAAATTATTCAACCACATTATTGACGTACTGATGTGGGAATTCTTAGAAGTTAAAGCAGAAATGAAACTCTTGGCATAGCGAAACACTTTGAAGTTAGTCTGAATTGTTCCTCTTACCTAGCACATGGTCTAAAAAAGTTTTCCCTGCTTATGGGCCTCAATATTAGCTGAGGATCAACAAAGCATTGCCTTTTTGCCAAGTCCATGGCCACAGCAGCCAGCTCACAGGGAAGTCTCCTCAGGAACTTGTCTAGCATTTAACACATCTTTGTTTATGCTTTGCTGCTGGATAACCCCAGAGGTTCTCACGTTTGAACTCCTCACTTTAATTACACATTCATTAGCTCTATCAATCACTTCTGTTGCCTCGCTTGGTCTGTAGGTCTGGGATTTCTCCTGTGCATTTATAAAACACTGAATAGATTTGTGAACATTTGTCAGCAAATGTCAGTTGTTTTAAAATTACTTCAAAGGTTTTAATTGTTCTGTCTTTATTTACACTGTCAATTTTAAAAAAGTGTAATCAGGTAGACTTAAAGGTAGACTTTAAAAGACTTTGTCTTTTAAATGACTATATTTTTTTAAAAGTTCTTTGACATTTGATGTTGTCATTGAGGATATTTGACTTCCTTAGGTTTTCTTTGTCAGTCTGATGCATGACAGCTGTGGGTGACATTTTTATCTGTTTCTTAAAATGCTGCAATGTTAAATGTTCTGTCTGCAGATTTACTTGTGATCTCAAGAGCAAGCAGTAATGTTGAACAGTTCTTTACACATTTAGTCCAAATCCATGCTGGTAAAAATTGTTTCACTGAACCTCTGGGTGTGTTCTTTGTCAAGAAAACAAT